GGTGTTTGCTCTGCTTCCTCCACACCTGCTGACTTCGGGGCCCTTTTCAGCAGTGATGGGTTTTCCTCAAACATTCAATTGTTCCATGAAAACGGGTTGGGTGCATATTTAAACAATTTTAGGTTAAAATTGGTTGGCACCCAAAGTAACAGTGTCACAGTGTATTCCCATTTCACATAAGAAAGGACTCTGGAGGGAGGGCTCCTGAAGCACCTCTCACCTCCCACTCCCCCACACCAGGCATGTGCCTCACATTCTTGTGGCCCCAGAAGGCTGCTGGAGCTCTGGCCATCGTGTCTGCATTCAGCTAGCTTTTGCTCACCCTCTCGCCAGCCCCCACCCAGATCTTGCTCACTGTGAGCTCTTCCCTTGGGGACAGTGGGCCATAACCACGGTTCAAAGCACTCTCGCTCCCTTCAATGCCATGGTCCTGGATGAGGGCACCGCCTGCTCCCCACTGCCCACAGTGGGCTGGCCCACATCTGGGCTGGGGAATGTGCCACTGCCTGGCTTCCGTTTGCTGTGTGTTCTGCCCTTGGAGTCTCAACACTCATCCACCTCATCCCAAAAGCCACCGGCGTCCTCTGCTGGAATGCCTGCTTTTCCCCGCCTCCAACCCGGTCTGGCTCCTACAGTCCTGAGTGGACTTCATCCTGCCTCCAGGATTGTGAGGTCCTCAGGCAGGGATGGGCCTTACTCATCACTGCACCCCTCAAATCCCAATCCCCAGGGCACAGACAGGCTCAGCAACCGGGTAGGCATGAATGAGTGAATGATCAGAAGACCTCGTGCTTGACTCTCAAAACATCAGAGGTCAATCCGGCATTTCATGGCTTCCCATTTGGTTCTAAGGGCTGCTGACCTCTGTGGCTGCCACGTGGCACAGCCAAGGAGAGCTGGGTTCGGGCCTGGCTTCACCAGCGGCTGCTGAGAGGCCTGAGCAAGCCCTCTGCCCTCTCTGCATCCCAGGTCCCTTCTATAAAGGGAGGAAAGACTTCCTCCCACAGGGCCGCTGTTAGTGTGTGGCTGGGCCCAAGCATGTGTCCACAGACAGCCCAGCCACAGGGCCCTCTGGGGGTGCTGCTGGAGGAGGGTGCAGTCCCGGGTTGGAGGAGCACCGCCTCTAGGAGCGGGCAGAGCAGGGGGCCAGTGGTGACGGGGGAACGGTTCGTGAATGTGCTGTGGCCACCGCACTGTGCCGCTGAAGTGGTTCCAGTGGTGAAGTTCATGGCGCGTGTGTTGTAAGTGAGAAGAGCAGACGCCTGTCCCCTTGGTGTTCTCCCACTCTGGTCTGACCCCCAGGCACAGCCCCCACCCTTCACTGGGTGCCACCTTCAGCATGAGCATTTCTAGATCCTGCAGACAGAGCCGAGACCTGCCCTGGACAGTGGAACCTCAGCCCGGTGGTGCAGCCAGAAACAGGAGCACTGAGCACAGCATGGTCCCAGGCAGAGGTCTGGACCCACAGCAGCTCACTGAGGAGTCACAGGCCTTCCCTGCAGCAAGTGGAGGCTGGGTTGCACCTGGAGGCTGGGCTACACCTGGAGGCTGGGCTGCACCTGGAGGCTGAGCTGTACCTGGAGGCTGGATTATACCTGGAGGCTGGGCTGCACCTGGAGCCTGGGCTACACCTGGAGGCTGGATTACACCTGGAGCCTGGGCTGCACCTGAGGCTGGATTATACCTGGAGCCTGGGATGCACCTGGAGCCCGGGGTACACCTGGAGCCTGGGCTGCACCTGGAGGCTGGATTACACCTGGAGGCCCCACATGGAGGCTGAGCTGCACTTGGAGGCTGG